GGGTTCATTCATAGGGAATGAATGACCTGTTGCTGTTTGATTTACTGGAAATTCCAGTGTCAATATCTGCTATAACATTTGTCTTTTGCTAATTATTACTTTGTGTAACAGGCTGCACTTCACAATATCTTTATGCCTTAGAATAAATATTCGACAGGCAAGTTTAGCACATTAATATTTAAACTGTTATTGGGAAAATGCACCATCATGATAGCTTATAGTGTAATATTATGTAGCATTTATATCTAAATAGATAGCATTGTTTAGTTTAAATGAATTCTGTTGGCTTAATTAATGCTATTACTTTAATCCATTTAGGAAGGAAAAAAACCAAAACCAAAACCCAAGGAAAGCATGGTGGTATCAGATAGGACAACAGATACAATACAAATTTCAACTTTCTGAAAAATTTCCCATTGTACAAATGGTGCAGTGGTTGTCTCAGTCTCTTTTGGGACTCATGCTGAAGTTTTAAACTGTGGTTCCACTGGAAAAGAGGTCTGTTTAGTGTGTTTTGTTTGGGTCACCCCTTCCAGCCCTGAACAAATGTGGTTTAATGGCTGTTTTGAGTGTAAAAGTCAGGAGCAGCCTTTGTCTTCATGTCTGCCATGAAACTTGCTAAATTACCTGGATCTCTCAAAGAGTCAATACAAATTAAAAATACAAAAAAGGTTTCTAAAAGAGTGATTGCTATTCTAGCAAGTTCATTAGCCTTCTGAGGAATGCTGTTGGCAGGCTGTGTTTAGCAGAAGTCCAAAACAAAGTAAACCAAAAATGTCAGAAAATGAATTGGAGATCACTTGACAATAAAAATGTGAGAACTAGGATGTAGATGATGAATAATTTGGGAAAATGTATATTGCTCCTCCAGGAATCTTAACTGCACAAAGGGGAACTATATTGAAGATTACAGCAGAGAAAGGGGAATAACTTGTTTAAGCGAATATGTGCCATCCAGCTTTTCTAAATGCACTGGCACAACCAGACTCCAGACACTATTTAGTTCATGAAAAAAGAAAAGGAGTTCTGCAGTGACGCCTTTATTACCCAGCTCCCTGTATCCGTCTCCTTAGCATTTTTGGTCTATAATCTATTTTCTCACTCTAATTTTGTAAGACTAAGTTGAAGACCAGAAGTGAAGTTTAAAGGAGGAAATCAGTCTCCTAAACTCGGTAAGTGGCAATTACCTTGCATCTCCTTTAGGAAGTGGAGGTTGGCATGACGCAGTTAGCTGTGGGTGCAGTCACCTAGAGCATCCCTTGTCAGCTGCTTCTGAGAGGAGGGAAGAGGCTGCTCCTCTTCAAGTTAATTCAGGTTTTTTTGACAAATTTTACATGCCATTGCTACTGTATTGTTCCATTATCTGACGATTCATAACAGAAACAGAACGAAACAGGAGTTTTAACTCTTATAGGATAACATAGCAGTAACTCTAACAGGAAGGAGAGAAGATTGCAGATGACACAGGCAAGGCTAATGAGCTCAATGCCTTTTCTTCAGTCTTCATGGAAAGGTTAATTGTGACAAAAGGTTTAGCATGATCAGAATTAACAAGGGAGAGTAGAGAAGGAACTGAGTATTTAGATTCAGAAAAGTCAGATTTAAGGCCTGTTTACAAGGTCAAATAACTATGCAATAAACTGGGATTTGAATTTATGGTATGCTATCTATTGTGCATTAACTCTGCATATGGAAGGTCTTAGTAAATAAAAGGCTCTACAGGAAGCAGCTTTTCTAGGTTGACAGGGTCTCTTAGAGTTTACCCCAGCATATTTAAAGATGCGGTTTCAAAACCAGCAGTGATGTGCTTTGAGTACTCCCGAAGGATATGAATAGTCCTAATAAGCATATTACATATATTTAAGTGAAAAAAAAAAAAAAAGGAAAATCAAGGAAATGTCAGCCAACAATTCAAATTAAGTTGGTATCTGGAAAGATACTAAACCAAATTATTAAATAATCAACTTACAAGCCCCTTAAACTTAGTAAGGGAGGTAGCCACTTTACCCACCAAGAGCAGACATGTAGAGAGACTTCTGATATGTCTCAGATAATCAGGACAGTAAGAGTATGATTCAGATGAAATAAGCAAGAAGCAAGGCTTGTTTCAGAAAGTATTATCAAGAATTAATTTTGCCAATAGTCTGTAGGCCCTGATTTTTCTACTAATTACTCCTTTTATTAAAATCTTAGACAATGAAATGTTACATTTTTGAACAATGTCACACTTGGAGGCTATGCAAGCAGGCTTAGAATTAAATATCTTTTTGATATATGGGTGAAATAGCTTGAAATCCATAAGCCAAAATTAAGTAAAGACAATACAGATGGTGCTTACAGAGGAAAAGTCAACTGCACAAGTGCCAAATGGGGAATGTGATAAGGTATCGTCAGCACCGTTGAGAAGACTGAGCAGGTTGCAGTGCTGTCACAGAACAAATAGAAATCTCATGCTGTAAATGTATTGGAGGCTGGGGAGGCACACAGGGAGGCAGTTTCTAGGCTCTAGGCTGTGCTGGAGCTCAGTTACGTGTCAGGAAGGATGTAGAGAAACCAGAGGGAGTTTAGACAAAAGCAACTGGGAACAGGGTTTGAAACTTACTTAGTTGAGGTTAAAAATTCAGGCAGCAGAGACTCTTTCTTCAAGCATGTATACGTTGTTCTGTGATAACTTTTCTCTATACCAACTAAAGTTACCATAAAAAGTATCTATTTTACTTGCAACAGGTTGGGTTTATGTTCAGTGTTTGGGAAAAACAAAACTGTGCTCTAATAATGTAGTTAAATGCTTGAACAATTACTTAGACAAACTGATATTTCCACGACTGGCAGTTTGGAGAAGTTGATTAAATCCCGTTCAGATTGTTTACTTATTCCTGATCCAGTCTAATTAATTCTTGGGGGGGCTGTCATATCAACTTTTCTATGGCAGTATTGGTATGAATTCCTATGTTTACAATTTACTATAATCTATGCTATCAAATGAGCTTTGTATTTTAATATCTCAACTAAATTTGATTTTTTCGATGGGTAGCTCATTTGCTTTCACATAGTGTATGCCATGTAATTTAAACTACATACCATTAAATCCATCATTTTTATAGCTAACTTTGATTCTAGCTTTCAGCAGGGCTCATGGATTGAATAAAACTTGTTAATTCTCTTTTATTCAGAACATTTCCTTCTTCACATCAAAGCAATGCATGTTTGTATCAGTGCAGCCAATCGGTATTTCTGTGGAATGAGCCATGAAACTAGAAGAGTGCTACAAACAGTCTTAAAAAATATGAAATAAATCATTGCTAGAGAGGCTCATGTGTTTACATGTATCATTGATGGCTCGGCATCTTGGACATACATAATACGCAAAGTCTTTTTCTACTTTCCTTTTCTTTCAGGACTGATTTACTGTGTAATATTTTATCCATGTGAAAAAGGAAGCCTGTTTTTTTTTTTTTTTTTTTTTTTATTTATTTAATGTTTTCTGTAAGCGCAACAAAGATCCACTTCCTTTATGAAATGACAACTATCATAATTCACACTGTCACAACTAGAATAATGCTCTAAAGCATTCCTGGTAATCTTGGTCTGCTTTATCAAAAAAAGGCAACTCTTGACCCATCAAGGGAAAGTCTTCTGGGTATAAATATCTGCAGGCAATAACTCCAGTTTATCTTGTCACATCCCTGCTTCCATTTGTACTCCTATTAATTTTTTGAGAAAATGTGCGCCGTATTTTTGTAGGCTACAGCCAACATGTATAATAGATTTTTGCATTTAGAAAATTACAGCACTTACTCATTTTATCTACATCAGCGGCATTTCAGTATTGCTATAGGAGCTGTACTTTAGTATGAGAATGTAGTTGTTAAAAAAATCCATACAGAACTTTAATTGTGACATTAAAATCTAATTATCATTAACAGAATAAAGCGACTATCGGAATAGATATTCATGCTTTCTCTTAATGCATTATGTAATTGAAACAAAAATACATTGATTTTTGCCCTTAGCCTTTCAAAACAGATAAATGATAGGTCAACCTGCCTTTACAAAAGTTCCAGATTGGGTCAGTCAGGTCGGCTGAGTGGAATAGTGTTTGAGTTTGAATTTGGAAAACGTCTGTGGCTTAAAAATGTGGCCCTCAACACTAAAATAGAATAGAATCATTTAGATTGGAAAAGACCATTAAGATTGTAGGGTCCAACTGTTAACGCAGTCATGCCAAGTCCAGCGCTAAACCATGTCCTTAATGCCACATCTACAAGTCTTTTAAATCCCCCGGGGGATGGTGACTCCACCCCTTCCTTGGGCAGCTATTCCAGTGCTTGACAACTCTTTCAGGGAAGAAGTTTTTCCTAATAGCCAATGTAAACCTCCCCTGGCACAACTTGAGGCCATTTCCTCTTGTTGTGTCGCTTCTTGCTTGGGAGAAGATACCAACCCCCACCTCACTAGAACTTCCTTTCAGGTAGCTGCAGAGTCTTCTCCAGGCAAAACAACCCCAGTTCTCTCAGCTGTTCCTTGTAAGACTTGTGCTCTTTACCAGCTTCCACGATCCAGCACCTCAGTGTCTTTCTTGTAGTGAGGGGCCTGAACTGGATGCAGTATTCGAGGTTCAGCCTCACCAGTGCTGAGTACAGAGGGATGATCACTGCCCTGGTCCTGCTGGCTGCACTATTGCTAATACCAGCCAGGATGCCATTGGTCTTCTTGGCCACCTGGGCACAGTGCTGGTTCATATTTAGCTGGCTGTCGACCAACACCCCCAGGTCTCTTTCTGCAAGGCAGCCTTCCAAGCTTTCCATCCACTTTTAGGGTAAGGATAGTATTTGCCCAACTCAATGATTCGCATTCATGGGAAAAAAATACAACAAAACCCAAGAAGATTTGCATGAGCTAGACTTCAGTTTGCTCAGGTCAGTGCCAGGAAGAAATAAACCATTGTTTCTTATGAGGGAACAGCTATCACAGAAAGAAGATACAGAGCAGGACAAGTGTCACCTCTTTTGGCTGTCATTCACCTAGGAAGGGCACAGAAAATTTAGTCCCATCAGCTCTGTCTGAGCGCATGCAGAAGCACTTATTTAGTAATGGAGTAGGAAGTGCTAACAAGTGGTGGGAGAAATCATCTTGGAAAAGAGCATCTATCAGAGTTCCTTAGGTAAGTGAGGTGGATCCTTCTCTGACCCTGAGAATTGGCAAATTGGCAAACACGAAAATGTTTTGCCACTTTTGGGTAGGTCTGTAGTAGACATGTAATGTAGAGTTTGAGGTCAAGCTCAGCAAGAAGTTGGTTGGTTGGTTGTTAAAACTGGTGTAGAAAAAGAATGAACAGGAGTAATTGCTGCTTGCAGACCTCCTGGGTGCAAGGCATGTGATTTCACATTGCAAACAAGAGGCAAAGTTAGGAAGGCAGGGATGTGAAAAGCAAGTGGAGTGGTGTTCACTGGGGAGGAGGTGAAGGTTGCCCTTGCAATTCAGAATGTCCTTCAGGCTTGGGCTGGACTGCAGCTAGGTGTTTTTCTCCAGGGTTTGCTGTGCAGATGACTAGTGGGTTTGGACAGGAGCACTGTATCAAGGATGACCCTAACTACCAGAATAGACACAGCTTTTGTGGGCTTTATATTTGAAGCATTAAATTGTTCCTTAAGGGAAAATTTTGCATAGAACTTGGATGCAGGGTTAATTTGCAATGGAACAGTCATTGAATTTCCTTTTAAGATATTATATAACCCTATTTATATCTTTCACAAGGTTAATAGGACTTTAATCCATTTTCTTGCAAACTATTTCAGTTACATTTGGTTATTTTTGTTCTTACCATAAGAATCAGTGGTTTTGGACCTTACCTTCTTTTCACATGCTGAACCAGTATAGCCACTTCTGCAATGCATAAGACAGTTGGTCTTATGCATCTGCTTCCAAATAGACATATTTTCTCACAAAGTGCTACAAATGAAAGATAAAGTTGTTTAGAGATACACTTATTCTAAGTCTCATAATTAGAAAGGGAATATTTAGATGCTTTTGAAAATATATTTACTTTTGAAAGGAGATATATTTGACAAAATACATTATGACTCTGTAGTTTCATATGATGGAGGAAAGGACAATAAATAAAAAAAATAAATGGAAGCATTAAAGATGGTTTGCCATAGGCTTTTTCATGCCTATGTGTCTGTTATATTTACAATTGCCTTTATTTTTCCTTTTCTCTGCAGTGATGGGGAAAGAGAAGACTGTGCTAAAATAGTCACCTTAGCTCAGTCTAAAATGGATCAGTGGCAAGGCCTAATTTTGAAAGCGAAGATACATTCTGGGTGTTGAGGTTTCGGTCAGATTTATGCCAAATTTTATTCTTGTTTCAATTGAAATAAAATAACGGCTGTTAAAAGGTCTGTTCTTGAATTGATATGAAATGATATGTTAAATATATACTTCCAAATATTACAAATAAATAAAAGGGAGAATTTGGTGAACTGCACACTTTACACCTCTGGAAACTAGGGCATTAGAATGTGTCATTTCATGGCCCCACAGAATCAGTAATGATTTCCTAAGGAAAAATAATTAGAAACCCTCTTCCATCCTGGGTACCAGTGTACTTACTGAGACACATCCACTTGAAGATATTCTGTTATTAAAAGAATCAGTGGGTTTTTTTTTAAGAGAGAAAAAAAAAAATAATAATTTGAACTAGTCAAATTTCAGCCAGTTTTTCATCCTCATTAGCTATTTGTATTGTTATGACATTGTTTTGGCATAGAGGAAAGAGAACAGCCAATTCATAGGGCACTGATTCAGGAAGAACACACATGTCAAAGTATTTTAATTAGATCTCATGAGTTAAACCTATAAATATTGCCAGACTTTGCATCCTAATTACAGGCAGTCAAACTAAATGCCTTCAAAACTGGTCAGATGTGAATCAACAAGTGGCTTTTATATTTTCTTGTGTGTCAGAGGCATATAGGAGGCAGCAAACCATGTCCCATTTAAGACAGATCTGAAAACATAGATGTATATCTTATGATCAAATACCATCTCCTTTATCATGGAGCAAAGTGTTCCATCCAGAAATTCCACAGAGTTTAAACTCTGTGAGTTGTTTTGGGTTTTGTTTTTTGTTTTCTTCTGGGGGGGTGGGGGGGTGTTTTTTTGGTTTGTTTTTTTTCCAGAAAATCAGCTTCAACAAGTTCAGGGGCTGAAGGAGCAAATTCCAGAATTTTGTTAGACTTAGATTCTGTTTTTGACACAGATTTAAGCTCATGCAAATTCTTTGTGTTATGATATAAAGTCTCAGGGATAGACCAGGCTAGTGAAATTTCTTTAGAAAATACATCGTGGGATCCTTTGCCATCCAAATGTGATTCTCAGTTATAGTAATTGCTATAGGGACCTTAAAAGGCCAGGACAAGCTGTTTAACAATACCTGGAATGTGTATTGGTTTTGTTCTACCATGTGTTATCATGGCTGCTAACACTCAGTGAGGAGGTTGAGATTTTGGCAGAATAGAGGATATTAAAATCTAAATATGTAGACTGAACTTCGGACCTAACAGCTGCAGGACAGAGGAGTGAAGAACCAGACTTACTGCCACTCTACACATCTGAAAAAGAGAGGCTGTAAACAGCTTGGCAAGCAGCTGCTCTTTTGTGTAAAGGCAGGTAGTGAGGGTTCATATTGTGTCAGAACTACTGACCCGTATCATGTCCAGAACAAGAACACGGATGGACCTGGACATGCACCTCTGGGTGCTCCTTTTTAAAAAGCCAGCTGTGTCAGGTTGTTATCTGCTGTTGGACTCAGTCACCTGGAACCAGCAACTTGCCTCCTAGTAGATGAGCTAGTTGATATGTTTCTGCTACTTTGAAAAGTTGAAAGTGCAGTTTTGTTGACACAACAGTTTAAAAGCAAATTTGGTCTTATTATGCGTCTGTTGCAAAGCACTCCTTAAGACCCAAAATGGGCAGCTGCAAACTTCTGAGTTTCTCCTTCTTCTGTGATTGGGAGTCCCAGGTTTGAATCCTGGGTTTGGATGGGGCAGAGGATGAATGAAATTATGCTCAAGCTAGAACAGCATGCCCAACATTTGTCTACTTGCTACTTCAGCTCCTCCATTAACTTACAAACTCAGGTTTATAACTGGAAAAATCTCAGGTTATACTCAGGTTTATAACTAGAAAAATCTGAGAGTTTCATTCACTGGAACAGAAATTGTGCATTGCCAGCAGAAGGGGCTCCTTGTGCCCACATCAGTTTTGTTCCATTTTTTAGTGAGCTAGAAGATGATACTGCTATTTCAGAGCGCTGTGTATGACATTAATATTATTCATTTGATATGAACTTGGGCTGGGGAAAAATGGAAGTTAATTCTCCTTTCATCTTGGTAGCAGATAAAATAAGGACAGGAAAGGCAAAGAGAGATGGATTCTTCTGGAGACCCCTATAGCAGCTGGGGAAAATCTGGTATGCATGGGCAGAAGAACAGGCATTGGATAGGGCTTTTTCTGTCTGATTATCAGGTGATGCGAACTAAGGAAAAAAGGGGGAAATATTTCCTCCTTTTTTATCCATTGCTACCTGCCTATCTCTCCATCTCCATCCATTGCTTCTGCTTTGACGCTCAGAAAAACAAGAGCTCAGTTAGGAGAAAAGTTTAAAACATTTTGGAAGAAAATTGGAATTGAAATCACAGAGGATAATAACATACTGAAGTTCAAATGAATATTTCATAAATGTATTTACAAGGGATGCTAAGCGTCTAAACACTAAAAATGATAGAAGCTATGTATGCGTCATCCTGTACAGATTCAACAAAGAAAGTAATTTAATAAGCTAAGCTTATGTTAAAATTATAATCAATAAATGCCCATTACAAAAAGAGATTTATCCCTGGGTATTAAAAGAACAGAGCTGTAATTTGCATGCAAACTACATTCTTTGTTAATATTTTTCTCTTTTTAAGGTTTGAAAGGGTTACATAGGAAACCTAGAAGAAAGCATGTCTGAGATGTTGTTCGAGGCAGAGAAAGAGAACTAGGAAGAATGTTGAGGAAATTATAAGGCTTTAAGCTTGACACTTATAACATGCAAATAAAGCAGAGATATTCTGAAGGGCAGTGAGGAGCCAGTATGGGTTCAAAAATGTTAGAACAGAAGATAGCAGCATGAATTTTAATGATGAAGATCCTTCACAAATATAACCTTTTTATACTTAATAATTAATTATTAGAATTATACCTTGATCCTGCATTCAGGGCCTTAAACAACAGACTTACATGCCTGGCTAGAAGCCTTCTGACTTTACTGGGTTATGTTTTGGCTATATCTGTCAGGATAATCAGACTATACTCTCAGGTCTTCACTCCTTTGGTCTAATGTTTCTTTCCTAGCTCAGGAAAAAGAGCAATGTGAGTTAGAACTGCAGGAGACAAGGGGAAGCCACAGGCATGGAGGTTTAGACTGGATATCTAATATGGAATGATTGCATCTCCAAAACATAGCAGACCTCTTCCAAGTTAGATAGAAGATCCTTAACATGTGGTGACTTCTTCTGACAACACAGTCTGATCTTACTCTCTGAGACATTGATGATTGATCAGTCTGAGAGATTGATGCCCTTTTTTCCTGGAGCTGTGGCCATGCTCCGCCCCAGGGCCCTGATGCAGGTGATGAGCCAGGCCAACACCAGTGGTATCCAGAGTACGCTCCTCCTGAACAACGAGGGGTCCCTGCTTGCCTGCTCGGGCTATGGGGACACTGATGCCAGGGTCACCGTGGCTATCGTCAGCAACGTCTGGATGGCCTATGACAAGAATGGGCACCAGGCATTCAATTCGAGTTCATCCTCATGGACTGCATGGAGGGGCGAGTGGCCATCATGTGGGTGGCAAACCTGCTGCTCTGCATGTATACGAAGGAGGCAGTTGGATTTGGGATGCTGAAGGTCAAGATGCAGGCGCTGGTCCAGTACCTGGAGGAGACACTCAAGCAAGTGGCCACATCCTGACTGCAGGAGCAGAGCTCGGAGGTGCCACCACTTGAAGGCTGGTGCCTTCAAAACCATCATCAATCCCAGACCTTGGGGTATCTTTACAAATAAGGTGTGGGGAGCAAAATATCAATGGGAGGAATAAAAACGTCTTTGATGCAATTTTTTTTTTTTTTTATTTTTTCAATGGTTTAGTGTCTGGCTGGAGACCAGTAACGAGTGGTGTCCCTCAGGGACCGGTGTTGGGATTGGTCTTGTTCAACATCTTTGTCAGTGACATGGACAGCGGGATTGAGTGTGCCCTCAGCAAGTTTGCCAATGAAACCAAGCTGTGTGGTTTGGTTGGTATGCTGGAGAGAAGGAATGACATCCAGAGGGACCTTGACACACTTGTGAGGTGGTCTGATGCCAACCTCATGAAGTTTAACCATGACAAGTGAAAGGTCCTACACCTGGGTCAGAGCAATCCTAGCACAGCTACAGGTTGGACAGAGAGGAAATTCAGAGCAGCCCTGCAGAGAAGGACTTGGGAGCGTTGGTCAATGAGAAACTGAACATGAGCTGCCTTCAGTGTGTGCTCACAGCCCAGAAAGCCAACCATATCCTGGGCTGCATCAAAAGGAGCATGACCAGCAGGTCCAAGGAGGTGATCCTGCCACTCTACTCTGCTCTTGTGATACTTCACCTGGAGTATTGTGTGCAGTTCTGGGGTCCTCAACATTAAAAGGACATGGAACTGTTGGAACAAGTCCAGAGGAGGGCCACGAGGATGATCAGGGGACTGGAGCACCTCCTTATGGAGACAGGCTGAGGAAGTTGGGGCTGTTCATCCTGGAGAAGAGAAGACTGCGTGGAGACCTCATAGCAGCCTTCCAGTATCTGAAGGGGGCCTAAAGGGATGCTGTGGAGGGACTCTTCATGACGGACTGTAGTGATAGGACAAGGGGTAATGGGTTAAAACTTAAACAGGGGAAGTTTAGATTGGATATAAGGAAGAAGTTCTTTACTGCAAGAGTGGTGAGGCACTGGAATGAGTTGCCCAGGGAAGCTGTGAATGCTCCATCCCTGGCGGTGTTCAAGACCAGGTTGGACAGAGCCTTGGGTGATATGATTTAGTGTGAGGTGTCCCTGCCCATGGCAGGGGGGTGGAACTAGATGGTCTTAAGGTCCTTTCCAACCCTAACTATTCTATGATTCTATGACATTTTCAAATTATTCAACATTAGACATTGCCAATCTTCATTGCAGCAAAACTGAAAATCTGTTTTAAGTTACTGTCAGTGGTGGTATCTGCTGAAAGATTGAAGCATTTTGAACTTTCACTTGTAATAGAGATTGATGCCCTTGTTCCTGGTGAAAGTTGGCAGAAAAATCTGACGCGTTGGTATTTGCACTTTTAAGTATTTAAATTAATTGTTTGGGACCTAAAAGTAGAGAATGTCTTGCTCTGCTTTTTCTGGTCTTATAGAAGACCAACGAGAGAAGATCTAGAAAAGATTTTAATTGTGGCAGCTATATCTGCTGCTCCCTCCAAACAGCTTGAACTGTCCATGTAGGGTTAGGCCTTTGTGAGTTAGAAACTGCACTGATGAAGGTGATCCGTGGCTTCTTATTAAAGATAAATCAAAAGTAGCTATTCAAGAGAAATTTTCAGTATTTTCCATTTTCTCTTTTATTGGCTTAATTGGCTACTCTGGCTAGCTGCCTCAGTACAGAGGACTGAAACAATTTTTTGCATCTGAGGAATATCCAGAAAATGGTAGTGGACATCTCTTAGATCCTTTGCTTTAGTCACCCGCTGGATGTGTGTTAGGAAGTTAATGAGGAAAAAATGAGGTGGAACAGGTAGATAAAACCTGTATCTGCATTTCCATTGCTGCCATGCCAATAAAGGCAGCTGCATGGATTCACAGGCTGAAAACAAAGAATGAAACTGGGTTAGCAAACCTCCTCCTACCCTTGAAAAAGCGCCAGAGAAACAATCCAGCCCTAATTGCCTCTGGACAGTGGAGAAGGTCCAGAAGGTGATTGCTGAGAAAAGTTATCATCTGGATTGTTCATTGTGAAGTGAGATGGAATTTTTGCATTGTGAAATAAAAAATGTTTAGATTAATATTGCAAAATATATATAAATTAATAGAAAATATAAATAAACACATTCATATATAGTACATATGTAAAATTTTAATATAATATGTAATAGGATAAATTAATATCGAATATCAATATTTGTAGATAATGAATAGTATGTTTCTTATAATGTGATTGTTTCACCGTTGTTGAGTTTAATAGCTGAAGTCTGTAGTTAAAGTGGTGCAAATCAAGGCCATATTCAGCCTTGTTGATACAATAGCGATGCACAGAATTTGGGCATACACATCCAAGCAAGAAGAGGGTGTTGAGCACAGGAAAAGCTCAGGAGCTTAAATTTGATAAGGCAATTTTGCACAGAAATTTATCACGAAACAAATGTCTGCTTGCCAGAAACATACTTTTTCTGGCAGAGTGTACGGATATGGCCCACTGTTTGTGTGCTGCTGGGAGATGGGAAAGAGGGCAAAGTAATGTGAAAGCAACAAAAAGATGTAACCAGAGGTTGTTTATAGTCTCCTTTGTGCTGCTAGCAGCCTGCTCCTCTGGGCCAGAGCTGAGGCGAAGGTAAGTACTTGTTTGAGCAAGGGAGGCACTCAGAAGGCTCTTTGTGTTTAGACAGACAAACACTTTTTTTTTTTCCACTAAGTTCTGGATTTTGGTGAATAACCTCCCATCAAAACACAAAACCAGACTTGCTTTCAGGGATTACACTTCTATGCAAAACTTTATACCTAACATCTGTGACGATGAAGATGTTTCTTGTTCCCCTGCTCCCCCCCTGCCTCACTGGAATACCCTGGAGCAATATCATAAGACCTCGCCATCTGCTCTGTGACAATAGTCCTCTCTCTTTTCAGCTGAAAAAAACCAGTAATTCCAACCAGTTGGTGATTATCTGGGTTTGCTGTGGGACCTAGGAATTTCAGCCAGTGCTTTTGTACAAAAAAGCTGATTTAACTTCCCATTACAGTGAAAACATGGGAAGAAATAGCAAAAATAGAGTAAGTAAGTGAACAGATTTGAAGCAAAGTTTCAAATGTTAGATATATATAAAATTGCCTAGTCTTGTGTGCCTGCATAGGATAGCAGAAATTGTTAATGATAGTAACCCTTGCCTTTTACAGGAACAGGCACGATTTGTTTATTTATTTAATAAACTGAGTCAGGAATATGTCATCAACTAATAAATAACTTTAAACACTGCCATGTTTGAACTAGAAGACAGCTGGCTCAAAGAAACAATTACACAGCCACTGGGATTTAACTGACAAAAGATCTCCATAAGTAATTATGCTCTGCGAGTGTGAGAGGAAAGAAATATTGCCCTTGAAGGGAGATAATGCCTTGATATTTTCCTCATGCCCTTTTGCTGTAAAGCTAATAACATATACAAACTGAAGCGACCCTGTATGTAACAGGCAGCAATGGGTCTCTTCCTCTTCCAGGTCTTCCATCGCCTCTGCATGCAGGTACTTCCAGACATCTTGGTGGTCAGTCTAAGCAGGTAGTGATTACAACATCAGGCTCCTATGTTATAAGATACATAGAATTTCTTTCTATGTTTAATGACACAGAAAGGGCTACTCCATTTTCTCCTGTCCTCGACCCCTCTTTTTTACCTTATATTTAAAATTATTTTATTTAAAGACAACAAATTTTGTCTGACAGTTTGAGCTCAGCATCCACGTAAGGAAAAGATGAGTCAGGTCTCTGTCTCATACTGATGTTGAATACAGAAATATCTTTGAAAGTAATAGTTTTATTGGCAGCATAAGACAGTTCTGACATAGTAGGCAGAATTTAGGTGCTAATCATGTTACAGTGGACTTTCACATAATAAAATTATAGAACCATTTAGGTTGGAAAAGACCTTGAAGATCTAACTTATTTTCATGCCTGTATAAGTGAAAACCAAAATTCGTATAACTTCTGTGTAAGGATGTTACCCAGAGAAGCTGCGGATGCCTCATCTCTGGCAGTGTTCAAGGCCAGGTTGGATGGGACTTTGAGCAACATGGTCTAGTGGAAGGTGTGCCTGCCCATGGGGGCTGGAACTGAATGAGCTTTAAGGTCCCTTCGAACCTAGACCATTCTATAATTCTATGATCATTGAGTCCAACCACGAACCTAACACAATATACACATAGTAGAAAATTTACTGTATAAAGATCTAGAGCACAACATGTGTGGTTACAAAACTGTAGTAATTGAAACAGCAGTTGCGGGTTTGGCACAGCATTCCTACCCATCCTCCAGAGCACTCACAGATGTTTGGACCTATACATTCTCCAACGTTCAGACACTTCTGCAGGCAAACAGCTGAACAGATTGACATGAAACAAGAGAGAAGATGTACCTGAGATATCCAGATGTTCAAGATTCTGTCTGAAAGGTGACCTGCTAGGTTTTATTCCGTATGGCTAACTTCTTTAGAAGTGTATGCTTTCACTCCATCAGATAATCACGGTTCAGGATTCTTTGATATTTGAAATTTATCTTTGATGACTACCTACTGGGAGTTTTGCTATTTCTAATGCTCAGCTCACCATCAACTAAGAATACTTCCCATATAATATATTCATATGTTATATGCAAACTGTGTGTTCCATGTCATAAATAAATAGATTCTCATACTAAAGTTTGATATGTTTAATGCATATATTATTTCTTCAGCTATGCTGAAGGAGCTAATGCATGTTTTGGTGTATATGTGTGAGAGACACCTCTTTCCTTCAGCATTTTTGAAGAAATGATTAATATTTAAATTTCAAAACACTGGTTCTGAAATAATATTTACGATCAAGACCCAAAGGGTAAAAAGCAAATATTTTAATCCGGTTTACATACAGTATGTCACCTTGATTATAAATTTATTCAGTTTATCTGTCAACATTATGGTAATAAATAACCATGTAAGGAAAAATATTCCTTGGAAATATTTTAGGGCGAGAGAGTTTTTTTAATTACATTTTTATGTAACTGTAGTCAGATCTGGTAGAGTTACAGAGTAAGAACACATAATTCTCCAAATTATGCACCAAAATGTATCTGGTGACCTTGAGAGTACATCAGTTTGGAAAGCTTTATAGCAGGCTTTAAATAGTTCTGTATTTTGAAATACATGGCGGTTCTCAGTAAAATATAACAAAATATGTGAAGCAAACATAAAATCAATGCTTCAAGTTTAATACTGTAAAAATGAATTTCTGTAACAAGATGTATAACAGACAGCTGCATGAAGCAGAACCAGGCTTCCCCTACACAGCTTTTTTTTAACTTTGCAAACATAAAATGATTATAGCATTTTATATTACCTGTACTTAAAAATTTTTTCTTCAAACTGCTGAAGTAGCAAAACAGATTCTATTTACTACATTGTTTTTTAATATTAAAAGAATATTACAATTTTTGTTGACTGGCCTAAGTAATAATAATCTGTTTTGTGGGCAGTAGAGGTGCTTACATTTATTACAGTGCCCAACCAGATGGGCAGTCGCAGACATTTGGGCGTACACATTTCCCCCCGTTCATGCACATGGGATCACAGACACCTGCAGATACATACCAAAGGGTATGGTAACTGGGAAATGAGGGAAGACTTTACTAGAAACTTGCTTGCTTCCCTTCAGAAGGTTGAATTGCTTGTAACTAAAACATGGAAAAGTAATTTGGATTTAAGAATCTGAGGCAGAGGCTTGATATTTCCCATAAATCCTTCTGGAAAATGCTGCACCTTGTGTGGAAGCTCTTCCGGGGAAGCTCCAGTAAGAGGTGCCTCACCAGAAAAAACAGATTATCATTAATTACAATGATTCTAAGAAAAGCAAGTAAAAAATTTTCCGTGGTAGCTGTGGACAGATCAAATACTTGTTAGAGCATTTGCTTCCTGACTGGAAATGTGTTCTCAGATGTTCATTTGGATAAGAAAAGACTTTAAGAGGATAGATTGGTTTCACAGAATTCTGGGAATGTTTTTGTATTCAACCAATCATTAAGACTGAACAGATCTATTCCTCCATCAACTTTTTGCACCATTATTTGTTAGAGTACTTACCTTTGTATTTATTTTTTTTTTGTTAAATTTCACTAGAAATCTAATTGCTAATTTTTGTGTCTCAGAATAAGGCCTGTATTTATCAATGTAGTTGCTTTACAACAACCAACAGTAAATTCCCACTGTTATGGCAAGTCAAACATCTGCAGTCCCAGCCTGATTGGATAGAGGTAGATGCCACAGACAGATACACAAATTCCTCATCTCCTGTTTCCCCCTGCCTAAGTGTAGGAGGACCCATCAGAAACAGTGTAGTTTAGAAACATGGCAGTGCTAGTATGATGGGAATGGAAATTATTTGCCTTTTACATGGAAAAAACCATTTGATAACAAAGCAAGCATCTGATAATGTGGGTGGAAGACAAGAATGGGTTCCTCCATGTTTAAAGCTTTATAGGCACAATGGGATTTTCTAGTGACTCATTACCAATACCGGTAATTGGCATGAGTCCTACTTGCTTGCGGAGCTGGGTGGCTGCATAAAAACCAGCTCTTCCTCAGCAGGCAGCAGGCTGCTTGTTTCTGCAGGCACCGGGAGGGCTGACAGCTAAAATGTAGCATTACAGTGCATTCACGAGCCTGAAGGTTGTGATGTCTTTTAGCAGTTAACATCAGCAGTTAACAGCAGATCTAATGCTACAGTAACTCTGGTTTTCAAGTCATCACTACCTACAGGACTGAAACTACCGCAGCCTCCACCCCCCCCCCCCGCGCCCCGACCTTTACTGTAGAAGGTGGAATCCTGTAGGGAGTCTCAAAACAGGAATGATCAAAAAATAGCATGCAAAAATACAGCAGCTGTGTTTGGTGGGAGAATAGCCTGTTTCTCTCTTACGTATGATCAGGCATTTTTACATAGGTTGATATAGATTCTCTAATTATTCCTCTGATGTACTGAAATACTGCTTTTGTGGAGCTTTGTGTCTTCGGTTACTCCTTCAATGTAGATGCTGAACAGGCAGCTTTTAGCACTGTTGCTTCTCTTGGTTGGCTGCTACACTTGCATTTTGTTCTGTGCCAAGCCTCCTGGATCCCTCAACATAGTGACCTGCCCTCAGGCAGGTCAGACTTATCCCCATTTATAAAGGCTGCTTGGAAAGTTTCAGCAGCCCTGAAGCTGTCATCCTCCTTTTTCCTTCATTCCCTTCATTCTCCACCTCTCCTGGTCCATGCTGTGATCTTGGCCTCTGCTTACTAAGGCTAAAAGGGATCTACAGTTCTTGCTGAATTATCAAAAAGTGCTGCAACCACTAGTTAAAACCTAGGTGAGTTCAAAGTATCACAGTGTAACTGAAATAATTTAATCTTTATTTTCCCTCTTCCTTTTTCTCTCCCTTTTGATCTCATGTCTCCAGTAATGGACTCCTGACCTACAATCTTGTGTTGTATTCCCTGTTTTAACCTCAGATATTCAGAATTTAGAAAAGATGACCCCAAAACATAGAATTTGTTTATAGATTTCAAATGACCCCAGTGCTAACCTTCTGTCCCCAAATCAGTTGAAAATCTAGAGATTTGATTTTGAGATCATATGAAATTTGGACAATGCCTTTCCCTGCTCCTTAAAATATAAAGCCAAGAAAAAGTAACTAGAAGCACAGTAGCACTTGTTCAAATGGGGGTTTCTCCTTTTTTTATTTATTTTTTTTTTAACCGTTATATTTTCTGTGAATTTTAAACCTTGTACAAACAATTACATTTTAAGATGTTCCTCTTTGTTTTGTACTGATGGATATTTTAAACTGTAGAACAACCGACTCTTCCTTCAATTACAGGGAGTCAAACTAGTCTGCTTTTTCATTAACTTCATTTTCAGTTTGTGTATAACTGAACTTGTACCAGCTCAATTTATATTCTAGTTCAGCAAAACTTTAAGCAGTAGGTGCAGTCCAGTCTTGGTTTGAGTAAAACATATCAGTTCAAACTGACTTTCAATTTGGGATCTATTTCTCTCTTTGTTCAGCTGCCTACAAAAAAGTAACTGAAAATATAGCATGAACTTCCTTTACATTGTTTATTGGTCATGGCATCTCTCACTTTGGTGATAAACCCAAAGGAGTTCAATTCAGAATGAACAAAGGGAAGTATCAAACCTGTTCTGAACTGGAGGGAGCACTTCTGCCTGCCTGCCCTCCAGGGCAGTTACTTTCTCTTCCTGCTAGGGAATTCAAGAGCACCTTTATGTAACTGAATGCAGTGTTATCTCTCCTCTTTTTCTCTCTGATATCTCCATCTTCTTCTCCCTTTCTTTAACTTTCTTAAATACAATTCCATCTCAATACCCATCAGACACACTTCAGCGTTTGTTAATGATAACTAGTTTGGATCCTTTCTAGTCCCACTCCTTGGCCTCTGTGGAGGAGCTCCAATTTCAAAATAGCAAACAAAAATGTTACTGGGTCTCACAGGAAAACTAAATAAATTATCCGACACAAGGAGAGCAAATGGAATTATTGTAATCCTCCCAGGCACTGGCATGACTTTGAAAAGACTCACATTTGTTTTTTCCCCCTCCTCTTAAAATAGGCCTCGCATTTTGACCCAAAGACAACAGTGGTCTGCTGGGTTTTCCACCTGTCTTGGGGACTAGACCTAATATAGGGATATAGACACATTTCTGTCATCTCTTTGTTGTAGTTTGGTAGGGTGTACCACTGGGCATGGAGAGAGTCCGGTACTATCAACACATCTTGGATGCAAGCTTTCTAGCAGTCAATATCACTAAACCCTTAATCCCATTCCCCTTAATGTCAGTGGTGACATTTCTATGCTTGTCAGTAAGAACTGATGAATAGAATTTCATATACAATAGAGTTACTCAATTCTGTAGTGTGCCACAATTCTTTAAGGCCACCCCTTAAGACTAGAAAGGACTTCCATGATCTTACGCTTTCCAAAATTCGTAAGTTAAATAAGGTGAGCCTATGTTGAAGGTGATAAAGCAGGTTAAAGAAAAAGCATGATTATGCTTTGTATTTCAGATGAGGAGTGATTTTGATAAGGTAGCAAGTAGCTGCAGGTGTTAAGATAAAACACAGGTGTTGCATGGAACATCATGCAAAACGTACACAATTCTTCTGTGCACTGAAAGGCATTCACAAGTTGCTAAGTTTTCTATTTTATGAAGCAGCTATTTCTCTTTGATGGCATTAATGCAGTTTGACCTTACAATCGCTTAGAATTTCCTGTGACCCTTTTCATAGCTTGTCTTCTCTAGGCTGACTTAGCCCAGTGAAGTGCTTCTTGCAACTCTTTTTATCAACTTCTATGGAGCTCTCTAGTTCAACTTTTCAGCCTTAACATCTGTAAGGTACTCAGAATTCTTGCTTTGGAAGGAAGACTTTTCCTGCAAAATAAATATTTCCAGAGATTACCAAAATTCTAAGGAAAAAAAAAAACAACAAACAAAAAAACCCACGAATCAATCAACACCTTAAATGTGGTATGTAAAGCCAAGTAGGCCCTCCCGGTGTAGGAGGACCATGTCCGGAGATGGACACCTACAGTTCCGGTATCTTTCTTTGCCTGCCTTTACCATCGATTTACAGTAACAGTTCCCCTAAAAAATGCACAGTATTAGGCAAAATATCCCTGCTATACAAAGCTAAAAGGGAACAAAGTTAGGCACTGGGCATGCTTTTCTGTACTGCACAAACTGAGGAGCTGAGAGTAATCTCTTGTTCTAACAAACAGCGGCAGTATTAGCCAGCAGTATCTGCTGATCAGTTTACAGTGATAAAAGAAGCCAGACAGTTCTTTCAGTCTCCCACTGCTTCTGTGAATTAGCCAACAAAAACTTTTCAAGTTGAACATAAGTCACTTTTTGATGCAAGTACCCCATAACACCTTTTCTCACTTGAAGTAGATAATAATAAGTAGTGAAAAACTTGCAATTTTCGTGAAATGAGGCAGTCTACATCCACCCTCATAAATTCAAAACAGAGAGAATATTAAATCTGGGTCCTATAATCCTGGCAGAAAGGGATCCTTTGCAGTGTTTCAGGAATATGGAGCTGAACATTCATGTCCTTTCCTCACCAGACTACACAGGTCTGCCTTTTTCTGAATCAAAAATTACCTGTCATCACGTACCCTGAGCCATGCTGCTGATGAGGAGACAGAGCATCACGCTGCACTACTGATTAGAAGATGAAGATGTAGTTTTCAAGACTTTTTTTTTTTTTTATCTGTTCTGTAGAAGCTTGAGAAAATTGACTTACTTCTGGATGCCTTCTGCCTTTGGATGGAAGAGAGAAAATAGCCTCAAGCAGTAACATCTGTGTGGGCCAGCTAAGGTAGTGCAAAAGGTAACAGCTTACTGACAAAGAACACAGGAATGTGGCCAGAACACCTACTGTCGATATATGCTTCAATGCATCCTTTAACTCAACATCCCTATGCTGTCAGTTACACGTGATTCACAGGCACTGCTTTTATTTTTGGCTGCTGTTGGTTTTGGACTGACTTCTTTGTGGGTCTAGTGCCTATTTCAACTTG